ACACGGGTAATTCCCGCGGGGGACGCTAGTGCATAAACACGGGTAATTCCCGGGCGATTCCGAATGGTGATCGCGAGTCCCCCTTACTGCTGCTCTCTTTTCTTGGTTTTACAGGAAGAAGTGATAATAACACTAGAGAAAAACAATGTGATGCGAAAAACGAACGAGGTAAAAATATTCTTATTAATTCAATGTTAACTCTTATTAATTCATTTAACTTAAGCATAATAATTGTATTCCAGGAACTGAAGGAAAAACTAGGAGAAGAAGAAAGACACCAAAGGTGTGYTTGTCAGTTTTTAATCAGCTCCCCTCTATTAACTATGTAAAAAGATGAAAAAATTCAAAAAAAACTACAAAACAGATAGGACCATGTGGCAGATAGTTAAGAACAGGTGTAATTTTTCAATGTTTAGGTCGTTAAATGGACTGATGATTTTTAATATTACTTTGTTTGTACATACTAAAAGAGTTATATAAATAGTTCATTTTTAAAATTTTATTTTCTTGGCTGCACCCCTGTGCATAATGAATCGCCAGCAATCATGGTATTATCTTTACTCTAGAATCGAACGTTACTCTATCATCCAAATGCTTGAGCTTGAAGAAAATTATAAGGTGAGTTTTAAATATTTTATGTTGTGAAAAAGCACCAAATTTAGAAAAATTCTCATGCAATGTTTTGACATTGGAATACAGATCATGGAAGATGAGTTAGAACAAACTGCACGGTATGAAAACTTTTGAATTTCTTTGACGTTTGCATCTTATTTTAAAAAGTGACAAAAATCGTTTTAATTTATTTTAAAAATTCTTGTTCATCCTAAAATATTTAATTATATATTAAATAAATATTTAATTTGATTAGGTTTCTACATAACTTTCATTCAAATTTTAATGCGACTTTTTTATTTAAAGGAAAGAGGATATCATAAAGGAAACGAAAAGGAGATTGGAAGATTTGGTGGAAAAAAGATCGAGGTACTTTGTCAAATAATGTTATAAAAAAATTAATTAAACTTAGAAAAAAATTCTTAAAACCATTTTATTTTAAAGAGATGAGAATCAATGGAAAGAAGAAAAAGGTGGAATGGGAAAGAAACTAGAAGAAATGAATGCAATGATAAATGAGACAGAACTAAGGTATAATTTTTTTAATATATATATWTTTTTTTCATGGCAACGTTATGAAGTAATGAAAAAAAATTTCTGATTTTTTCTGAGCATTCATTACATATGGTTCCATAAGAATCATTTCATTTCATAAAATAGGCCTTAACCACTGTCTGTTTTGCTATAAATTGTTTAATATTGTTATTCATCAGAAGACAAAATAAATGTATTTGGATATAGACCTGAGGATACGTGGCTATCGACTTTCTAAAACTTTCTGCTCTTTTAATAATAACACATATTTTTTAACCTAATAAATTTCAAAAGCGTATTTGCTTTAGACATTGCAATAAATGCACTGGGTTGTGTCTGACATTCTCATTTTTATTTTTTTTATTTTTCTAAAATCAGGATGGAAAAAGAACTAGAGGAAAAGAAAGAACATATGGCAGAAATGGAAGAGAGGTATGTTTCTTATTAACAGCAAATCAGAAGAATATATTGCACAAGTATGT